GCAACCCATTCTTGTCATAAAAGGCGACTATGCTTGTCGTAAAAGGCGACTAACGGGATCGGGTGGTCAGGCTCGCTGACTTGGTTGACACATGTCATCGTTTCCCAATTGCGCAGATCGATGCTCATGCTGTTGATCACTGGATTGTCTGGTCCAGACTCGATATTTACAGACCGCCGCCATATACTAGTAGCTGGAATATTGCTGAGTGTGGCGTAAAACTTAATTCACTCACTCACTGATAATAGAAAATGTCATGTCATAGAATGTCATTTTCCAGATTTTTAGGTGTTATATGAAAAGTTGCAGAGTAATTTGACAAACTGGTATATTATGTGTGCTTAAAACGTCTAAATTAGTCTTTCGTAACTGAGCAACAAATATCTTTTAAGTATCATTCCCGAAGATGAAGTTAACTTATGGATTGATAAATGTATTTTTGTTTTTAAGTCTTAGCAATATTCCAGTTAGATAATGGCAGTCGTGTGTCTGTCTGTGAATCTGGGATTGGCATTGAACTATGCAATAATTGGGATATGATGTCCGACCACTGTTACCATATAACAACTCATACAGCAGGCATAGTCACCTCTTCCAATAACCATCAGTTGCTGAGGACCCATTATAACACATCTTCACAGGTCCATTGATTAAACCCATAAAGATCCTGATTAGAATTGATCTTAACAACCCATGCTTGTCGTAAGAGGTGACTAACGGGATCTGGTGTTCAGGCTCGCTGACTTGGTCGACACATGTCATTGTATCCCAATTGCGCAGATCGATCCTCATGCTGTTGATTACTGGATTGTCTGGTCCATACTGGATTATTTACAGACCTCCGCCACGTAGCTGGAATACTGCTGAGTGCAGCATTAAACAACAAACCAACCAACCAACCATTGATTTATGTAGTGATACTTGTACCAAAATAATGCAAAGGAAGGATGAATTTTAAATCAACAGTGAGGGGCGGTGGGGTAGCCTTGTGGTTAAAGCGTTCGCTCGTCACGTCAAAGACCTGGGTTCGATTCCCCACATGGGTACAATGTGTTAAGCCCATTTCTGGTGTCCCCAGCCGTGATATTGCTGGAATATTGCGAAAGCGGCATAAAACTAAACTCACTCAATCAACAGTGTCTTCAAAAATGAACAAAGTCTCAAACCTCACCATAAATATAACAAAGCATCATTAGCGATAAAGGGTTTATTCACATGGATTACCTGTTAAAGCACTCAAATACAAGCTGGGTGATCTGCTGCAACAATACATGAAGACCTGCTAAATAGGATGTGTATACACTGCATTAATACAACTCAGTGTAGAAACATAACAAGCTGCAGTTGGAACATCAAACCTGTGACACTACTGTCGCTCCGACATACCAAACTTGTGCTAAGTTGTGAACCACGAAATTTACACTGGTTGTGTGGACTTACTAACGTGATACTCCAGTGTTTAACTTCTGGGCTAGCAATACCATCTATGGAATGGACTTCTATCAGTTCATTACAAAATAAACATCCAGTACACTGTTTATTTTAAATAAGCATCACATTTACATACTGCCTTGCTCTACAAGAGGGAAGCAACTTACGGTACTCATTACAAAGGCTCAGTTGCAAAACTGATGGCCAAGTGGGCTGTGCTCCAGTCATGCTAGTAAGGGCATGTGTTTGAATCCATGATTACTGTGTGCCATGATTATTACTTCTGATTGTGAAAACAGTCTTTCTGTTTCTGAGTCACAAGAGCGTAGTAGTAGTAGTAGTAGTAGAGCGTAGTAGTAGTAGGAGGAGGGTCCTACTACAAACACTTTGTAGTAGTAGGAGACGTCACATTTTGATTTACAGACACTGTTATGAAATATATTCTTTGGTGACTTCTTGTATTTTATAAAAAACAATTAATGCATGTAAAGCCTACTTGATTCCATGCATGCCTTACGTGAAACAATTGGCAACACAGCAATCATGATTGGACTGACTAACTGACTGAGTTTGGTTTTACGCCGCTTTTAGCAATATTCCAGCAACATCACGGCAGGGGACACCAGAAATGGGCTTCACACATTGTACCCATGTGGGGATTCGAACCCGGGTCTTCGCCGTGACGAGCCAACGCTTTAACCATTAGGCTACCCCACTGCCCCATCATGATTGGAAAAGAATTCTGTAAACTGAAGCATCTTTACTACAAACTAATCTATGGACAGACACAATAAAGGTCCAATATGTACTTGTGAGAATTTTCTTTGGTGGCCTTTATTTTATGAAAAACGCTAATTCCTGTAATTCATGACTGGAAAGGACTTCTGTAAATTGAAGGATCTGTAGTATGAACTAGCTATTAAAGCAAAATCATGGACTATAGTCAAAGACACAGAAAAGGTGCAACATTTACCTGGATTGTCAAGCTGAGCTGTACATCATCCGCAGAATTAAGTAAACCTATTACTAAGTTCAATAGTTGCACATTGACTAATACTACCTGTAAAAAAACAATTTGACCAAAATCACACTGTAACTAAAAATATAAATCGCTTTGTCATGTGGCAGTAAATTTAGGAAGTGATGATGTATAACTGCAAGCCATGGAAAATAGAAAGTCTACCAAGAGTGTAAGATCTGATTTTAATGTTAGACCAGTAAATTGTGAGTCCTATGGTTGGAAAACATACAATACTTATATAAGACAAAATTCTAACAGCATTTTAGAAGAAAATGTCATTTTGACAAAAATATCTGTTGTTGCTTGTGGCCTTAACAACATATTCCATACAATAATGAGTCAAGAATTGTTAATACATGTTTTAAACTACATCAGTTTCCGTAAATCCCCTGGAGTCTGAAAATAGGCGACCATACATATTATTTATGAAATCTTTTTATAATAAATTTTCTGATGACGTAAAAATGAAAATATAAAAGAAAAAGGCACGGGCATGTTATGACATGTCACAAATGGAAAAAAGTCGCCATAGTTTTTGCTTCTTTCGTGGTTTATCTGGACGTTATAATTTCCTTCATAAACATAGGCTTCATCTATGACCTCAGAGTCTCAATAGTAAGGAAAGATATCAAGGGGAAGTAACTCGGTGCATATACTGTGGTTTCAGCAGTATGAACGTTTCACTATCCGAACGTTTTTTTTAAAAAACCAAAGTGTTCGTATTAACGAGGTCTGACTGTATTCCAGATACTTCTTTACTCAGAATCTCTCAACATTTAAATCACTATCAATATATGATTTCCATGCATAAACATGTAATTTAAAATCAAATGTGTATCCGCATTTTGCAATATCACTATAATTTTACTTACAAGAACATGTATTGTTGACATTATCTGACGTCTATTCAACACAGGCGTCTATTACATTATGTATTCCACCTAAACTCCTTCACGTTACTGCTGACCAACTCGCCTATGTAGACACAAGGATCTGATTAATAAGCCATAAGCAGACAAATATAAATGACATGACAAATTAGATACACCATCCAGAATAATGTGACAATATTTGCAAGTTTCATGGAATGGAGCACTGAATATTTCAGCCCCATCCCAAAGTTATTGCCATACAAATATGCTTCAAACCAACCATATTCTGGTGCTGAAAGAGTATATAGACCTGATCTATGAGGGCAGAAAACAACAATGTACATATCTTCAACAGTAGTACTCATCTTACAACCATGTTTCTCATGCAGCTACAATACACTCCAAGGTTGTTGTCAAATGGCATCCCAAATATGCTTCAAATATTTAAAGTATTTAAGTTGTGAAATGTTTCCGGTATCCGTGGACTTCTGGCAAGACGTGGCACACAAGGGGACATATCGGTATCACAATCATAACCAATGTTTATCATTTGGGATAATACTCAACCCACTAGAAATGTACTTTCATGAGAAAGTGTAATCCCAAATATGAATTTAAATTTTAATCAGTTTCATTTACAATTATTCAGTGCATGATATCTGTTTTATGACAAACACCATACACAGATCAATTAGCCACTATCCTAGCTATTCTCGAAACATTCGTAGCCCTACGAACTTCATAAGCACATTCTTAACACACTGGCTACGATCAAAGTTAAGAATTCTTGGAGCTACGAACATTTCGAGAATAAGGGCCCATATCTTCTATCAAGTCCAGTTTGTAATACACGATGATGAAAATGCTCATCCAATCAGATCACTAGGCAAGGGACAGAATATGTGCAGTTGCTGATAAGATGGAGATTGTGCCATGACTTGGTAGAAAAAGTTAATATATTGGAATGACTGTCTAGTACCTGGCAGTTCGTGTTCCCCTGAACATGGGTCAGCAGTTGGCAGAATTATGTACAGGTAGCTGGGTTAATGCTGTGGGGTAAAAACAATCTCCTTACATACCGAATCCCAACGCAATGCCTCCCTGTGTCAGGATCCGAAGACACTTCCATAAAAGTCACTTGAGCAATCTTTGACTGCCCATTGTAAACAAAAAAATGAGCATGTTGAGATGTCAGCTTTCTTAAACATTTCAGCTTTATTGTTTTATCTACCTCAATTCAGGTGTTTGATTTTTGTAACAGGAGTGAGTGAGTTTTAGTTTGACGCCACTTTTAGCAATATTCCAGCAATATCATGGCAGGGGACGACAAATGGGCTTCACACATTGTACCCATTAGCACTAGAGGACATAATCAGGGCATAAATACAGTCAAATCCCGATGAGTCGAATCGCTGGGGACCAAGTAATAAATTCAACTTATCGATGTATTCGAGACATAGGTATGTCTATGAGGGTAACCGGAAATCAAATGATGACAACTATAACAGGGAATAGTCGGGACCGACAGGTACTTAGAGTTATGCATAATATTCGAGACACCGGTATTCAACTCATCGGGATTTGACTGTATACATGTCATAGCAACTGTTTGTGGGTTATTCCATGATGCACAGAAGCAGCAGGATCCACAGCAACATAATAACGCCCCTTTCTGTATTCAGTATTCCCTGATAAAATACATCTATTACTCCTGCAAAGTATTTCTGAGCAACAACACTGATTATTAACTTAAACACTTATCTGACACAACGTGCTGTGGAAAAGTATATAGATTTTTATGCAGAGAGATATCAAATTGGAGTGATGTATCTGTTTTTATGGGATTGGAGAAGTACGAATTCAGAGTAACGTATCTGTTTTTATGGGATTGGAGAGGTACGAATTCAGAGTAACGTATCTGTTTTTATGGGATTGGAGAAGTACGAATTCAGAGTAACGTATCTGTTTTTATGGGATTGGAGAAGTATGAATTCAGAGTAACGTATCTGTTTTTATGAGATTGGAGAAGTACGAATTCAGAGTAATGTATCTGTTCTTATGGGATTGGAGAGGTACGAATTCAAAGTAACGTATCTGTTTTTATGGGATTGGAGTAAAACAACATTTGTGTGAACCCCTGGGTAATAAATACATTGAGTATGATAACAGTAACACTTAAACTATCTACATAGTATGGGGAGTTTGTCTGCTTTTCATATGGAATTCTTTACAGGTATTTCAAAATGTGGAATCATCTCAACTATTTCATTGTTAACAATAATATAAAATATACATATTTGTATATCAGTACTAGAATGTGTGTAAAGAATTGACATTACATGAGGCAAAAACCAACAATGAACAACATATCTTCAATAATAGCACTCATAATAACAGCACCTATAATTTGCATTAAATTACTATACACTCCAAGCTTTTACACTTTCCACACATAGAAAAAAAGGTAAGAAATATCTGGTCAAAAATGTAAATCAGAATGAAGCTTTTTGTTACCATGGTAACCTTGCAATTGATCATTTCAATACATCAAAGTTTATCATACCTTATAAGGGTAAAAGAATATTTTGTGTATAAATTCAGAATAATGTCAGCACTAGTGTGACACTGACAGTGGCAAACAAAGTGGACAATTTTTAGACAAAACGAAATGATCAAACGTTTAGGTATTTTTTTATATTTTTTTTTATGGTGTTGGGTATAAAAAGCTGTGTAAGGTATTGTAGGATACAGCTGAAGAAACAAAGAACCAGATCCCTCCAAACTTGACAGCTGCATCAGCAGGTAGAACAACCCAGCAGATCGATGTCCAGGAAATATAGCACCAGCTATGGGATGTAGTCACTTCAGCACACCTTGTAACAAACTCACTCACATCTATCTACTCTTTTACATCATCTCACTCCCACAGATACTGACAATTAGTTTTGGCTAACAAATAGGATTCATTCTTTGGAAAAATACTGGCATTCTACTTCTGAAGACTGTTTTATTGCTCGATTATCAGAACGGAGATGACCCATCTGCACCACTTCCTAAATTCCACTTCATGTGAAGCAATGTTATATTTTAAATCCTTCCCATACATTGCATTTCAACATAACCACAAGGATATATCCCTCCTACTCATCCAGTAGGATATATATGATATATCACACATCAAAGTATATCCAATTAACATCAACAATATACCACACATCACACATCAAAGTATACCTCACCAACAATATACTATGTATTGTATGTAATGCTAATTAATTTAGTTATCAGGCCAGATTCTTGTAAAATATGCAAAATATTACAGTTGAAACTTGACACAGAATTAAAACATGAATCAATAAAAGGGTGCACGTAATAAGATTTTACCTCAACTAACGAAGTCAGGGAACACCCAATACCTAATTTCAAGTGTTTACATTTCAATTAAAAGGCCTTTATAAATTCTCATCAAGAATTTAGTTCAAAGAATATTATTGTGTATGCAATCACTTTGGGACACACATTTATTGTGTAAAACAATGTTTCAAATCTTCAGACATAATTTCATAACATCTGTGAACCCCTAGACATCTCCTATACAGTGCACTGCGGAGCTGTTTGGATGTCCAAGACTTGTTCAGCCAGTTATGTCTTGTGTATGTGACTCCAGCACTTACGGTACCTACACTATACTTCCTGGTGTGAAGCACTCTGTAACATGGGTCCAGCCCCAGTGTGAGATTCTCAACTCCAGAAACTTCATAACTCTTCATCCAGCTGCACTGCATTCTAAAACAAATTATCTGTGGTCGGTCTGTCTGCGTCCGCCTCTCAGTCTGTGATCTGTGTCTGCCTCTCTGACATGTATGTCTGTGTGTCTGTGAGAGTGATGTTTCAATAAACGAAGGAGATGTATTGAAGTATTATGTAGATTAATGTAGTTTAACTTTGAATCTGTTGAGGAAGCATTCAGTCTGTATGGTGCTGTGTCTGTGTCTGTGACTGACTCTGTCTGTGACTGTCTGTGACTGTGACTGTTTCTGTGTCTGTGTCAACATCAGCGGCAGTGTATGAGCATGATCTAGGAATACTTAGAGGAAGGTACTGTGGAATCATACTGTCTGTTGTCTGACTGTTTATGTCTGTCTGTTCAGGTTGTCTGTGTCTGTCCATTCTATCTGTGAGAGTGACCTAGGAATACTTGGACAGGAACTTGTCGTGGAATTCCCGAAACCTGTCCATCATCTCGCCCAGCTTGGCAACAGGAGGAAGAATGGTGGTTCTGAGGAAGAAAACCAGTTCTTTTCAAACTCATCATACTTGCCATGGTCATATCTACCAAGGTAACAGGGGTTTTGCCAACATTTTGAAAATTTCAATGAAGCTTCATATAGAGGACCCACATTCGTAACTACTCACCTCTTTACGTGACCTACAAGAAGACTTGTACCCCTACCATATGCCATTATTGCCAAGAATCGTGGCAAACCAATCAAATTGTGCGTAGTAAAACGCATTTCGAAGCATGAAAATGGCGGCACCATCTAAACTTTGAAACTTCGCTAAACTATGCAAAGCACAATTTAAACATAAACTTTGACCTAAAGAATCAGCAACTTTCAACACTGAAACATATTTAAAAAGGGAATGACTGCATAGCTGTTTTCCCCACGGGATATAGGATATTCTAGGAGTAGCCATGTTTGGAATTTCAGAGTTATCTTCCCTTGGTAATAGTCCCAGACTATTTTCATCTCTGTGCCCATTTGCACTTAGACAGAGCCCATTCGTAAACATGTCCAGTCGTAAACATACCTACTCACTCACCTCACACCCTTCCTCCCTCACCTATCTGACTCACTCCCTTACCTCACTCACTCACTCACCTGACTCACTCACTACCTGACTCACAAGACTCACTCATTCACTCACTACTTGATCTACTCACACACTCGCTCACCTGAAGTGGAATGTCCCTGGCAGCTGTCCAAAGCCGCTTCCTGGCACCACACATATCCCAGTGTCCTCCAGCAGACTGAAGCAGTAGAAGGCATCCGGGCCTGTCCCTTGGCCTACAGTCAAGATTACAGCATCAGATTAGTCATCTCCAGCCTGCATGCACAGGTGACCTACCTTGGTAGCCATGCGGCTTATTTACATGTACTGTGACACAGTGGTGACCTACCTTGGTAGCCATGCGGCCTATTTACATGTACTGTGACACAGTGGTGGCCTACCTTGGCGGCCTGGATGGCCTTCTGTGGAAGTGTGATCCGCGGGAAAGCGTACATGGCTCCCTGCACCTCGTTACAACGTATACCTTCCATGGAGTTGAAGGTATTGGTCACCATCTTGGCTTTCTCCGCAAGTTGACTCAGGACCTCAGTCTTTTCCTGTAGAGGAGATCAGACAAATACTCACATAGATCAAACAACAAAGTACTGGTTTATACTGGTTCTATGATGAGCACTGCAATAAGACTGCTACAGCTGAACAATTGTGACAATTTGACTCAATTTATCTCCCTGCCACGTAGATTTTCTCGCCTCATTTGACAAGATGACAAAACTTTCTCAGCAATACATTTGATTACATCTATCACCCTCGTCTGCCGTTTGGAAAGGGAAGCAACTCGGAATCAGTATCAACGTAAGCAATGCCTACCTTGTGCAGTAGCAACAGATGTGTAGAATCAGGAGTTTACGTTATGGGTTTACCTTTCTATTTTTAGCCCAGTGAGGTCAGTAATTGTTACATTAACCTTACATGTGTTGTGTCAATTCGTCCAAGTGACAACTCAGCCAATAAGATGAAAGGAAATTTAGTGGTCGCATCTTGGTCGCAACGGGATATGATGATACACAATCAGCTACAGCCCAATTTCCCAGAGTGTTCTTAGCACAAAGACTGGCATAAGCCCGAACATCTCAGTATTCAGTCACATCTAACTCACCTTGTTAAAGAGCTCGTATGATGGTTCACCGGGCTGTGGTGGGTTGACCACGACATCCATCACAGCCTGCAACACATGAGGCCAGCGTGTGAGTAACATTTAACAGAGAGACGCCCGGGGCAAATCAGTAACCCTTGCAAAGACCAACCACTTGTAACTTTATAACACAGTTAATTATTACCTTAAACGTTTGTGTTAGTTTCACACAGGTCACTAGCTTCAATGCCTCGACTAAAACTGGAGACAGACAACAGCATCGGCAGAATAGTCCGTCTTAATATTTAATGCAATTGTTAAAATACCTCCAAATTTAAAGAAGAAAGGATTTTACATGGTTTTCTAAAATACTGTTTTTTTAAATCTGCCTGACTGAATACAACACAACTTTTCAGACTAAACTCTCAGATACATCACATTTTCAAATCCAAATCAAATACTATTAAAACTAAATATTGTAATGTTAGGAAAAGGAAATGTAATTTAAACAATCTTTAAAACATGGCTTAGATGTTGAACAGCATAACAGATGTTCATACAGTGGAAGGACAATAACCTACTCACCTGGCCTGACACAGAGGAACAGAGTTTTGCCGAGATTGACTTCACTAACATTGCCTTCACATCAGGGTCAAGGTTAATGACCTCTGAATATCCTCCTCGAAATCCACATCTAAACCAATCAAAACACAGTACTTACATCATGACTACTATCATTGGGCTACAACTACATATGCACATTCATAAATCGCCTGTATGCATGCACTTTTCATGCTCAAGTCACTAAGATAGTCAAATTACTTATCCCGACAGGTACACATTTTCTGCTGGGTGAGGTGAGGTGAAATTGGGTTAAAGTCGTGCTTGAGAATATTTCGCTCATATGACAACGTATATGCGTGTGTATGTGTAAGTGTGCGGCTGCTTGTACTAGCCCAGACTGAAGCTGGTTTTATAGTGCTAGCCCACTGAGATACCATGCCGCAGTGAAGCATGAATACCCGACTCAGACACATTATACTGACTCCGAGCCGACCAGTCCTTGTTGTACCCATTAATGCCGAGCGCCAGGCAGAGACCAACAAGTACCATATTTTAACGTCTATTGGTATGACGCGGTCGGGGATAGAACCCGCGACCTTCCGCTCTCCTGGCGGACGCTCTAACCACTACACCACGGAGGTGGTTCTGCTGGGTGAACAGAGACAATTTTGAATAAACTCACTTGCCTAAGGTGAGACCACATGTGTTACTTGTGCTTCATTAAGGACAGGTCTGAAGTCTTAGAAACTCACATGAGTCAAGCTGCCAAACATGGTCACAATTCAAGTCTTTCTGCTACATGCTTACATGTTATAATGAGCAAGTCAAACAGACCTCTCCATCTCCTAGCAACACACAATACTGAAGGGTTGTAATGTATGGAGAGAAACAAAAAGTTAAATAACATAAATGAAAGATGAATGGTTACAAAAGAGATTAACATAAAATATCCATAATAACTGGCATAAATTAAATCTTTATTTACTGCAACCATCCTAAACCTTGTTACAATCGTATAGGACCACATGCGACAAGACAACAAAATCTCATCTGCATCCCTAGAGACCAATGATGTACATTAAGATGTTGATATTTCACATTTTAGATTCAACTTGACTGGCTCCCTGATTTTCAAGTGGGTCTCTTTACTAAGCAGAAAGAATACTTTGCACAAACTGATCCAAATTTGGAAAGATTTCCGCCCGTAACCCCCGTATATTTTTAATCATTATATGCCTAAGAATATACGCCTATGTTTTTTTTATAAACAGCATGTACCTAAACCTAAATCCTAACCCTAAACCTAAACCTAACCCTAGAATCTAACCCCAAACCTGACCCTAAACCCTCGAAATAATCCTAATAAATAGAATACATTTCAAGCGGGGGTTACGGGCAGAACTCTTACCCCAAATTTTACTCAAACAAACCTTGTAACACCCCCTATAATATTCACAACTGGAAGACGCACCAAGTCCAGAAAGCAAACTATCTATCTCTTCATCCAACCATTTGGATCAGGGAGTCTTCCGATGCGGTCTATGGGACATTAATATTAATTCACCGGTATGTGTCTATTTACCATCACCTGTATCATATATTTAATCTATTGTATAAATCATGTCATGATCCCTTGCATACAACAGTCTCCTGTAACATGTAGCATATCCATCACTCATAATTATACACCAATGGTGCCACTTAAAGCAGACTGTATACATGGCTCCAGATAATTTTTCAACATCAGGAGTATGTACTCCTTATTTGTTCAATATTGAGTACTGGAAAACCTTAAGTGTACATTTAGAGTACTGAATGGAAGCTAATGGACTATCAGTAATCTTGTTTTTCGTTTCATATATGCACCACAACATTGCTACTCTTGTGTAAACAGGTCAATAAACAATAAAACAATACTTTTTCAGATAAATATGTCTGTAAATGATTCTAAGACCATACACCATTGCTGTGGTGCATATCTGCTACGTTTTCTAAATTATTTCCTACCGTATAGTGCATATTTTTTATCCGTACATACGCCGATACGGCCCTTATCTGGAGCCCTGTGTATAACTGGGCTCAGTACCAAGGAAAATTGTCAGATCATTTGATATTATACAGGTATAGAAGCTGTACAGGTAGCAAAATGTCTTGTCAGCTTAGACAGATGACGGACTACAGTCTGCTGTATGTTTATCTGGGGTATAATTGGCTTCATTTGTATGTACCATATTTCCTCTATTAGAAGCTAGAGTTGAAATACATGTGGCCCTTTCATTGAAGCCCAGGTCATACACTTTGTCCCAAAAATAGAAGAAACTTATTCTTGCTCCTTCATTGGATGAATGAGAGGGTGGGAAAACATGACATGAATCATATTTCCTCAGTTAGATGCCTGTGCATCTGTTAGTTTAGTCTGTCTCACAGTCCCTGAACCACATTATTTTCCCTACTGCCCAGCCCTCCCTGCAATGCTTAAGTCCTAAATGAAGCAAGTCTACAATCTCCCAACTGACTGGGGCTCCTTTTCAATTTAAATGGGTTTATTTGTTACTATCAAAATTATATTTTTTCATGGACTAAGCGTCTACTATTAGTTTTGTGCAAGCTGTTAACCTTAAGTCGATTAAAGGCTGGCATATTTTGAGATGTAGCAACTCAATTCTAAAATAGGCCTATTGTAATGTGTAATAAACAAATTGTTATCTATGATATTTCTAATAAAGACACTCACTCTCCCATGTATCCTTTAGACGTGGACATGAACGACGCCATCTCCATGTCGCTGTATGACGACCCCATCTCCATTAACACCTTCTTGAAGCTGTGGAACTCTGAGTTCGCAGCGTAGACATTGTGCTGATACACCTACATCAACATGGAGGTACAGTGCTGTATTTTGTATCTTGACCCATAGTTGTCAGTTTTACTTGTTAAAAAGCACAATTAGAATGGTACTTGAATTTCTGACTCGGAATCAACTGCAGCAACAATAGAATGACATTACTTCTTGTTAATTTTGTATCCGGGTTAGAATTGATCTTCAGTAACCAATGCTTGTCGTAAGAGGCGACTAACAGGATCGGGTGGTCAGACTTGCTGACTGGGTTGACACATGTCATCGTATCCAAGTTGTGTAGATCGATGTTCATGCTGTTGATCCCAGAATCGATTATTTACAGACCGCCGCCATATAGCTGGAATATTACTGAGTGCGGCGTACAACTAATTTCACTCACTCACTCTATAATTTTGTAAGTTGACATATGGTTTGACAGTCTTAATTGTAGAAAATGAACATTCAGAATGGTCAGTTAGTTCCTGACAAATAATGCATGATGTTATCCCGATGGTATAATGTTATAGAGCAATTATCTATCAACTATAAGATGGCTCAATTCAGAGAAATAATTCAATATTCTGTTGATATTCATGATTGCTCCATTACGATGTCCACCGGCCCATGGTACATAACAGGCTTCTAGGACGCCGATCAAACAACGATATACACACTTCTGGTGTACAGGTGTGTTAACAAATTAATAGTTACTGACTATTTCCTGAAGGTAAATACTGCTTTTATTCCATACATATCTGGTCAATAACATTCATTACTGGACACTACTGACCTCATCAGCCATCAGCAGTAGGTTCTCCTCCTTGGCAAACTTGATGATGTCTTCAATGTTCTTCCTCGTTAGCACCTGGCCTACAATCAGGGGTCATGTATTCAGACACATATAATCACGGTGTGTAACATCACCTGTCTAATCAGACTTCTGTTTCAACAACTAGGGTGACTATTCAGGTTATTTTCACAATAGTGATATTATTACAAAAGTACCCAATACCTTTGTGCTAGTGTTAAACCATCTTTAATGCTTGGGCAATGAAGGAGAGAGTGACAAGCATGGCAGGTCACATGACTGTTGCATGGGAAAAGGGAGGCAACTCATGGGTGAGTGAACTTTTACGTCCTCTTCAGGGAACTACAAGGGATTGAAGTGTTCCACTACCATTCGCATAGAGGAAGGAGAAAAGCATAATAAGCATGAGTCAGGATAAGGAAAAATGAATAAAATTTTGATGACAATGTCAAAGTCAGACCTTTCTCTCCCTTGCGCATCTCAAACTAAAGGGAAGTAATGTTAATCAAAAGTAGTCACAAATCTTGTAATGACCAAATGGTAGGTTCGAAATTTAACTGTAAAAATGAATTTTCTTAAAAATACTGTATGTTTTACTTATGAAAATACTTCGCAGTAACCATTGTTAAGTATAGTGTCAACAATGCAATGACATTTCAAAATTCCTATCGACATAGCAAACGTAGGGCAAACAACTGCAGTACACTTGATAGACTGACATATTGTTTGACTCCTCTCAGCTACCACCTCTATCCCCTCCTACCTGCACCAAGTCCTGAGATGTTCAAAAGGGAGTGAGGAGTTAATACATCATACTAGGGTTGGGTATTGCCAAAATTTTCATATTGCAATATATTGTGAAAGTGTAACACATGGTTTAAGGTAATGAAATTACTGTTTTCTTTCTTTTGAAACAATGCCACTGACCACTGTCAGGACTCAGATGTAATCGTACAACAGATCAATTGAAAACGTTTCCAAATTGAAGACTTCGCTCTAAAGTTTGGAACTCAAGGAAAAGCGTCTGCAGTGGGGTCCGCCATTCTGGTGTGTTTATCCCTACGAGTGCCGGTACCAATCTATTTTTTTATTTATATGGTTTAAAAGTCACGCAAATGCAATTTTATGACTAATAAACATTCTCAAAACTATTAATGTATAATAATATAAAGGAAATACAAATGTTATTAGTAGTTTTGACTACATCATCAAAATGACCGATCGTATCGCGTGAACCAGTTCGTGAAAAGTGTACCACAATATATCGTATTGTGAAGTTCGAATTGCAATATACCTGTTAACCGGTATTATCGCCCACCCCTACATCATATCAGCAATATTCCAGCCATACTGTGACAAAGTTCAACTGAGGAGTGAGTGAGTTAATACTTCAATATTTCAGCCATATCAGGACGAAGTTCAAGTGAAGGAGTGACATTCACCTGTTGGGTTGCCAGGGTTGATGATGACGATGGCCCGAGGCTGACACTGTGCCCTGGCCTCAGAGATGGACCTCTTCAACTCATTAATGTCCAGCGTCCAGCCGTTGTCCTCATCCAGGAAGTAGCCAATCTGAGATAAAATATTCATGTAACCAGAAAATTAAATATATACATAGAATGTCATACTAGTGCATTTGGATGTTTTGTATTGAATTAGAAGATGTCAGTTAGTTGCTTCCATGACATCTCCGACTTAGTTGCTGCGTACAACAGAACCTGGGTGTTGTACTCACAGGATGAGCACTGTATTCAGCTATAGTTATTGTATACAATAAGATCTGGGTGTAGTACTTACCGGGTGAGCGTTGTATTCAGCTATAGTTGCAGTGTACAATGGGTACTGAGGAATCGGAATCATCACTCCCGCACGTTTGTTCCCAGTCTCTCCCGTCATTGCCAGTTTCATGACATTCTGCAATAGAAAACATCTCCTGTTGCTGTATCTTGGTATCCATGGAGCTAAAATGCATGTACTCTTTTTGGGGGTATGTTGGGTAGCCTAGTGGTTAAAGCATTCGCTCATTAAGCCAAAGACACGAGTTTGATTCCCCACATGGTTACTTTACATGAAGCCTAGTTCTCCCGGGATATTGCTAAAAGCAGTGTAAAACTAAACTCATTCACTCACTCATTTAATTATTCAAGTTGTCATCTTCTACAACACTATGCAGCATCAAAAACACAAGGCAGATATGCATTTGGTATAATGCATGTCTAACTTTGTAAACTGTCTCTTACAAATAAAAACATTTTCACTATATGGGAGTTCAAAATCTGTTCTGGTGTAACGTCTTTCCACTTCTCTCAATATTTATTTGACCTAAGTGGCAATATTTAGAAGCAGATATATATTTTTTTAAGCAAAATATTTCAGCTATTCTGAGATAGACTGTTCCCTGACCTTTATTCCATCACTGGCCCCCGTGCTGAGGAAGATGTCATCAGGGCTGGATGGGTGTCCATCACGGGCGGCAATGTATTTGGCAACATCCTCACGGATCACCCTCACACCAGCACTGTCACTGTAGGCTCCTGAATAATGACATTTCATCAAGACTAAGTGGAACAGGATCAGTTTTCTCCACCTGCATGTTCTCACCAACGTTCTTTCTCTCAATGCTCTTTCTCTTGACTCACCTTTCTCCCAATATACTCTCTAACCACTGTTCTGTAACATATGACCTCACCAATGATCTCTGCACCATGCTCTCTTTTCCAATGCTCTCTCTCACCTGTACTCTTCTTCACTGCCATACTGTCACCTCAATGGTGCTCTCCTAGGTCAGAACTTCTGTCTCATTTATCTCCTCACCTATGCTCTCCTATCTCATTTATTCTCTCACCAATGCTCTCCAGCTCATATATCCTTTCACCAATGCTCTCCTATCTCATTTATCCTTTCACCAATGCTTTCCTATCTCATTTATCCTCTCACCTATGCTCTCCTATTACATTTATCCTTTCACCTATGCTCTCTCATATCATTTATCCTCTCACCTATGCTTTCCTATCTCATTTATCCTCTCACCTATGCTCTCCTATTACATTTATCCTTTCTCCTATGCTCTCTCATATCATTTATCTTCTCACCTATGATCTCCTATCTCATTTATCTTCTCACCTATGCTCTCCTATTACATAATTCTTTCACCTATGCTCCCCTATCTCATTTATTCTGTCACCTATGCTCTTACATTCTCTTTCACACCTATGCTTTCCTGTCTCATCAATTTACTCTCTCACCAATGCTCTCCTATCTCACCCATTCTCTCTCACCTGTTCTCTCCTATCTCACCCATTCTCTCTCACCTGTTCTCTCTTATCTCACCCATTCACTCTCACTATTCTCTCTTATCTCACCCATTCTCTCTCTCACCTATGCTCTCTCCTCCACAAGCCTTCAGTATCCTGCTTGCTCTCTGCTTGGCATCTGATGGCATTTTTGGATCATTCAGAAGTTCAGGGTAGGTGCACAGAGCCGACACCTGGTGGGATAACAGGTCAAAGGTTTACATCAATGTATTCAAAACATCAATTATGTACAACAAACAGGGATTACTGTTCAGTTTAACTAATTCTTTATTCCCTTCACATTAAAAAAGAATTTTAGTTCTTATTTCCGCTAAACTAAGATCAAAGTCATACATTTGAGTTCATGTCTGAGTGACATTTCATTAGACCAAAGAGCATCGCGACATCTGGAAAGGGATAGTTTGATTGTGTTTTCTAATCTAATCATTTGGTACTCACTTGTCTTATGATAATGAGATCGGTACACGTCCTTGTCTGACAATTGCATTATTACTCACCTGTCTGGTAACAACATCAGTATTTGAAAATGACATCACAACTCATTTGTCTGATGACATTGATATCATTACCTGCCTGATGATACTGACATCAGTACTCACCTGTCTGATGATATCGATGTCAGTACTCACCTGTCTGATAAGTAATGATATCGGTATTCACCTGTCTGATAAGTATTGATATCGGTATTCACCTGTCTGATAAGTAGTGACATCGGTACTCACCTGTCTGATATTGCCATCGTTACCTGCCTGATGATATTGCCATCAGTACTCATCTGTCTTATGCTATTGACATCGTTACCTGCCTGATGCTATTGACATTGTTACCTGCCTGATGATATTGACATCTGTACTCATCTGTCTGATGTTATTGACATTGGTATTCACCTGTCTGATGCTATTGACATCATTACCTGCCTGAAGATATGGACATCAGTACTCAACTGTCTGATGTTATTCACATCGGTATTCACCTGTTTGATGCTATTGACATTGGTATTCACCTGTCTGATGAATAGTGACATCGGTACTCACCTGTCTGATGCTATTGACATCGGAACTCACCTGTCTGATGATACTGACATCATTACTCACCTGTCTGATAATAATGACATGATTACTCACCTGTCTGATGATACTGACATCATTACTCACCTGTCTGATGATACTGACATCATTACTCACCTGTCTGATGATACTGACATCATTATTCACCTGTCTGATGATACTGACATCATTACTCACCTGTCTGATAATAATGACATCATTACTCACCTGTCTGATGATACTGACATCCATACTCACCTGTCTGATGAAGGTCAAGGGGCGTTGTCCGACAGCATGACAGTCACCAATATTGGCTCTGATGACATCAGGGAAAGACTTCTTTACACCCTGCAAGCATAGCAAGGTACAAAACTTGATATTTCCCTGGATCTTGATCTCAACTATGTTAACAACTACATTTTCTCGGTGTCCTCCCAGTTGTGAGAACTCCCAGTTGTGAGACACACTAATTAATGGTTCAGTGCACACAGGTGGTGCTTCCCCGTCCCTATGATGAAAGTGGGAACAGCCCTGTTGCTGAAGAGTACCCGCAGGAGGCATAGTTCATTAATGAGTTAATTAACACAGAAGACATTGCTCGTTGAAGAGCATTTATTGTTTTCAATAGATACTGAAATACTGAAAAAGAGTATCGTGAACTGGTGATATATTCTACTTGTTGAAGGCCTGCCATAATGGTGATCGGAAAGAGCAGTCAAAGGTTAATGAATACATTTGGATTAATTATTGTTACAACAGTTATTGCTAGATTTTTCAAACACGTAAATCTGAGTAGGTAAATTAATTTCTCTTTCAAATGATCACGAAGTTACCTACACAAAGTGTTTATTTTTTAAAGCCCTTTACCTGAGTAGGTTAATTACTTTACCTTTTAGAGTTTCATTAAGTTACCTCCACAAGATTCAGTTAAATAGCTAATCCATAATTAGCTGGGGTTAATCCATTCTATCAGATAGGGGAGTAAGGTGTGTTTTCTTTGCTAATTACCTACTCCACTGTCTCACAACTGGGAGATCTCACAAATGGGAGTAGACCCATTTTCCAGTCATGTAAGAAGTCTGAATTCACTGTACACAATTGTGCCCCTTAGTAGGACCAGGAACTTATCATTGTCTGTTCAGATCCCATATTTGCCCTATTTATACATTTCTACTTGCTCCTGGCCCCGATTTCTCGAAACAAACTTAAGTTTTTACTCAAATTTCAAACTGAGTTTGACAATTTGAAACAGCTGAATTTTTAACTCAACTGCATTTTTTAACTAAAAAAAGCCCAAACAACTTAAGTAATCTATCCACCAAACTCAAATTGTCTGCTAAGTTTGAGTTTAATATTGATTTCAGTTTATTCTGGGAAATGCATTTTCCTGCGTTTTCTCAAATTTGAGTAAAAACTCAGACTTAAGTCAAAACTCAGACTTAAGTTTGTTTCGAGAAATCGGGGCCAGGTTTCACAAAAGAGATCAAACATCACGACTTGCAGCACTTCAGGTATTCTTCCAGAGTGCTGACCAATGGGCCTTACCCATTACCTGACTGAGTGAAGATTTTAAGTGAATTTATAAATCAAAGTAATCAAAGTAATCAAACTGGCTACAATCAGTATTGATAGCAAGATATTATATTTGGTTCCATTTCATATCAACATGATGAAAGGACAATAAGGTTACAGAATATTTCTGACAAAAGTGTTTGAAAAATTAATGTTTTGCAGGTGTCAAGCAAATTTTCTGAGGGTCAGCATTTCTGTGTGAAACTTTCAGCTGTTAGCTGTGGTAAACTATGAAATTTTGTTTCATGCTGTACTTTAAGCATGTTCATTAGCTCAGTAACAATATATTTATCAGCTGATTGGTGTAAAAGTACATTAATCCTGAATACACATGAGAGTAATTCTTGAAAAGAAAGAAGCTTCACCATCTGCATGGTCAGAATGTGTCACTGGTGCTCCAATATGAGAATTCTGAAACTCTGGTAAATACTGCTCTGCTTTTACAATCTAACATTTGTTGGTTGCTAATATGTTTCAATATATCACTCTCATGGAATTCATGTTTCAAAAGTCTGATGCTAATTTTAAAGAGATCTTTGTACACATGCCAGTTCCAGAACCACTTAAGTGTATTTTAAAACACAAAATGTTTGATTTAGCATGTCTTTAAATAACACAGACTATGCATTAACTGTTACACATCCCAAAATACTGGACAGCAAATGCCTAAAAAGGCAATATATTCATGAAAAATAGTAAATGCTGGTTCTGGTTTCAAGAGTTCAGTTCATAGGTTCAGGTATCAAATACAGCTTCATGGCATCAATGTGTCACACACACCCTCACTCAAGAGCACATGTTGTACAGCGCACATGGCATCAGATACAAAAGTCGGATTGAAGGGTGGAAGGTACATACTCGTTACAGTTACTGGGTGGATTATGAAAGGGTATCATGAAGCGGAATCGGATTCTCAAATTATTTCTTTTTAATAATTCATATAATGAAGCTTCCAACTTATGGACAGCTTCTTGTTTATTACTTAGAGCCATGTTTTGATGTATAGTCTACAACGTTATCAAGCTAAAGGAAATCACTAGTTATGGCGTGTTGAATCAACATCAACAGACAATCCAGTGATCAACAGCATGAGCATCGATATACTCAACTGGGATACAATGACATGTGTCAACCAAGTCAGCGAGCCTGACCACCCGTTTGTCTAAAAAGAGGACCTAGACCACTGTCAATCTTGAAGCACTGCATGTGTGTATTTTGAGACCTCACCAGTCCGGAAACCTGACCCTAGACACTGCTTGCTACCTCTTATTTTATGCTTTTAACAGATTTCTCAAAAACAATGTTAATGCAGGTGATTTCCATGGGAATGCATATGTCTTGATTCACAAGGTTTCACAGTATGTTTTAATCTGCTACTGAACTTGACAAAGAAGTAAATCATGGAAAGTGAAAAACTATCACGGTGTGTCTACTCTAACAGCGCCTTGAATAACTTATGTATCAAATGATCAGGTGTGTGTCGTCAGTATGACGTCACACAGGTGTTCACGTTTCAGTGAAACTACTCTTATGTCTCTTTGATCACACATGAATGAACACAAACACCTGAGGCTGAAGAGTTGGCGCTAGGGAGGGGACGTAACTCTGGTACAGCCATCACTCCCCGACCCACTACCTGCTGTTAACGTTTGCTTCGCATGCTTGGTAAACTTTAGCACGATAATAAATATGACATAAATACAAAATTTGTCACCTTTGCCAGCTCCTGTTCTATTTCGCCAGCTCTGATCACGATGGGACCGCGAACAGCATACTCCATCGTTTTAACGAAAGGGTTCATATTTGCGACTGTCAACACCTTCCCTCTCGTGCACATCTTCTCTCCCGTCTTTCCTCTGAGAGCAAGGCATCCTACGCGTCTTGCTGCGTTCTCAATGCGTCTCTCAGCCGTCCGAAACATTTTCGAATTTCAATTTGACTTAAAGGCAGGGCGAACTGTGAGAACGACTTTCAGAAACCCTGTCGGACATAAATAGCAGGGGTGAAGGTCGTGGGTCAAAAGAGGTCAAACACGTGGAGTTGTTATCACTCCGCCCACTAACACTGCATAGAATAAATAAATACTGCAAATCTCATTAAATTTATCATTTTAAAAATTTGAGCAATCATAAACAGTGTTGGATTTAAATAACCTGATTGACATACATGTACATGATTTACCACCATTGAAGAACATGTTCAAAATAATCCTGAATAAGCGTTTCTGGTTTCCCATAGATAAATATTTTTTAATAGCCTTTGGCGTACGTGTCATCCAGCATAAATAAGTTGTTGTTGCCGTTGCTGTCGTTGTTGTGCGTTGTTTATCACAGCATTCAACAAGCGTCCAGCAACATGACGACACGGTATCCAGGTGTACAAAGTCGGGTTTGGGCCCGAAACTCCAGTGATTGATAGTACATGAGCAACGATCCCGAAGTCGGGCTAGTACCATTGGCGGATCCAGAGGGGGGTGGGGGGACACACACACACGCACACGCACCCCTTTGAAAATTCCTGGATCCGCCTATGGGTACGATCACATCCAATAACCAGCCACACGCCCCCGATCCGTCCTCTTATGACCAACATAAGTCGCTGGTGAATAGTTCTAATATGGTAATATGGAATCCACGTGCAATCAATCTTTATTTACAATACTGAAAAGGACATATAGGCCTTTATTACCCACGAGGTCAACGTATGGGTAGTTGCATACTAATCTCGTACGTCACACGAGTGTCGTATCGCGTTGACCTGTGTCGTAACGACTTGACCTGAGATTCTCAACGATTTGATTGGATAACCGATGACCTCTCCATTAGGTCACATTCTGTTGTAACTATTTTTTTATTCATAACAAACACGTGAATCCATTCATTCTACAACTTAAATGCAGTGTGGGAATGTAAACATTGCGAACGTTGCCGTGTCGCTGTTTAATTGTGAGTCGAACTGAGACATTATATCCGTCGAAAAACATAAACGCAATGATTCCACCAGGGATGTTAGCCGAATGAAGCAACTGGAAACCAAGAAACGAGGTGCTACGGAGTAGTTTACTGTAGAAGGCTGTACGAGGCGATGACAACTGACATGCATCGTGACGTCGGTTACCAAGGCAGTGACGTCATTACAGTGTGACGTCATGCAAATATTGTACTACAGTACAAAATTCTTCCGCAACCTCTTTATGAAACCGGTTTCGGTTTGAAACCAAAAACATAACAAAAATACGCTATTTTGTCAATTTAATGCATGTAAGACGTGGGTAATAAATAAAATACCACACTCGGTCTCATTACATACGAATTATACGAAACGAGTGTCCTTCCTATGGTATCTGACCTCGGATACCATAGGAAGGACACTCGTTTCGTATAATTCGTATGTAATGAGACCTCGTGTAGTATTCTCTATATAGTACATTCATACATGCAGTAGCACTAACCAATGAATACGCAAATTCTGTACCATCGTGTCATCTCAAAATCAAACAATCACAAAGTATCTTGCAATGTGTATATACCATGCAATGAATATCAGATCTCTTGCAGTAAATATGTGAAATAATTTACGATATATTTATTTCTATTCACCCTTTGCTACTGTACGTAGAAATGTATCATAGGCCAATGGCCTTTTCGGTTCTGTAAATAAAGAGTGATTGAGTGAATGGTGGTTGATAGATTGATTGATTGATTGATTCCACGTGTGTATACAAATGATGCTCCCCTTTGGGGTGATGTAATTGTGGCTTCAACGGTAATCAGCATTACATAAAGCTAAAACTTGATGTGACTATCTGATTGACTAAAATATGCAAATATGCCATCATAAATAAACATCATTAAGTAGACAGTCTTGTACACCTGCTTGTGAAATGAACTACAAATGCATATATGCTTGTAATTAACGCTTAGTCTGAAACTACATAATTTTCATGGAAACAGGCAGTACGACAGTAGCCTGGCTGTTATTGTTGTTTGTTTGTTGTTTAACGCTACACTCAGCAATATTCCAGCTATATGGTGGTGGTCTGTAAATAATCGAGTCTGGACCAAACAGTCCAGTTATCAACAGCATGAGCATCGATCTACCCAAATGGAATACGATGTCATGTGTCAACCAAGTCAGAGAGCCTGACCAACCAATCCCGTTAGTCGCTTCTTACGCGGATAGTAGTGTACAGCGTCTCCCTGGCGTCTTTTTTCAAGATGGCGGCACATCCGGTCCCCATGGGCGCCGCCATCTTGGATCAAGATGGCGACGCCCACGGGGACCGGATGTACCGCCATCAGGGGGAGATCACTCGGGTTCCGGTTCCGGTGGTTCCGGTTCCGGCGGGTGCGTACGCATGGCGATGACGTCACGTCCGGTTCCGGTGGGTGCGCGCGCATGACGATGACGTCACCTCCGGGCCAAGATGGCGGACGCGTTTCAAGATGGCGTCCCATCCGGTGGGATCGCGTGAGATCTCGTGGGATCTCGTGGACTCTCGCGGGATCTCGCGAGCGTAGACGCGTTTCAAGATGGCGGAACGGACGAGCGGCGGACGGGACGGGACGGAGAGGGAAGGGAAGGGAAGGAGAGGAAGGAGAGGGAAGGGGAGAGAGAGGGGTGAGGCGGACGATGGCGTGGCTAGACAAGTGTGTGTGTGTGTGTGTGTGTGTGTGTGTTGTGGTTAAAACACATTGGATGTAGCATTCTTTCGAGCGAGGTGGGTGGCCCTGAAAAGGGCCGTTGGTATGTGAACCAGGCAGGTTAGCATTCACAGAGGAGTTGGAGACCCCGAAAAATAATTTTTCCGGGGCACACATCATCGTGTTGCTGCTGCCCTCTCTTGATGATGCCTTCTCCACAGTAGAGGCATATGTAGAAGGCAGCTCCTGGAACGACATCAAAGCGATTCGAGGGATACGCTTTAAAACAGGTAGGGCAGATAATTAGTCGCCATTGGGATGACCATTTTGGTAATGTTGTTGTTGTTGTTGTTGGTGGTGGTGGCGCTAGCGTGTCTCCTGTCGTAGGTGGTGGTGGGGCTGCCGCTGCTTCTGTTACCGTTGTTGGTATCGGTTCTGCAGGTGTTGTTGCTGCCTCTTCCATTTTGATGTCAGCCTTCCCTTGTAAGGTAGGGCTGCATCGCAAGCATTGCCGTCTACCACAATTTTTCCTGTAAGGCGACGGTCGCATGACTTTCACTTTTCTTGTATCCATGTTGCATCAAGATAGCCCTCACTGATCCATGCTGGAGTTTATATATGGGCGACGAGACAGCGATGACGTGTCGTCGATGACGTGGTATCCATGACGTCATGGTCGCGCGTGAGGGTAATGACGTAGTACCGATGACGTCATGATCGTGAGGTGGTGGCGCCCCCATGGCCTTGGATTGGCTGAGCTCTCACTATATATGATGAGCTTGGTGGCGGAAGCAGTGTTACAACCAGCAATCATGTCTGGAGAAAACTGGGATCTGGAACTCATGTCCTTGGAGACAGCATCACCACCCTTACCAGCATGGCAGTGCCAACGATGTTATGGCTGTCTACCTGTCTACGCCAATGGCACCATTGAGTACAATGCCACCTTTCAATGTGTCTACCCTGGCACTGTCTTGAAGGACACTTATATCAGGCGTTTAACTCATGGGAGCAAGTGCCCCGTGAAAACAAAGATGACCATTCATCCCTGCCAATGTATGACCCAACTGTGGTCCCTTGAGTGAGGTACACTCTAAAAAAACGGCCCTTTTCAGGGCCATCCATCTCTCACAAAAGAAAGGTTCATTTCAATGCCAACAACAATAACAACAACACTAGGTTGACATTTTTCAAACGTTTTATTTCCCCCGCTAACAAGAACACTTTGACAAAAGAGACAGGATTAGGGGCGTCCCTGATCTTTTGTTTACAAACGGTATGAACTGTAACATCATAACTGTAACATCAGGACCCGGTTGTATCAACACGTACTTATGTAATCATCAATTAAACACTAATCACTGATTAAATACTTAATGTTTGATTAGTTAATGAAGTGTTTAAATACGGTTGTATAAACCCTTATTTAAACACCCATTAACTAAGTATGCCTCTAATAAAGGTCCCGTCATTAAACCATGATTAACTTAGGGGAATCCCCTAATTATTATCCATGGTGCATTGCATGTAAACACTCATCGATCGTCTGCATCATGGCTGCCTTCAGAAATCGCAGCAAAAACTTTGAAAGTTGTGAAATACAACTTCTAACAGATCTAGTTGAAGATCATATCGGTGTGCTAAACAGCAAACTTACCAACTCCATAATTAATGACAAAAAGAAGCAGATATGGGACAAAATAACGGCCGAGATCAATAGCCTTGGGGTAAGCAATAGGACGTCCAAAGAAATCAAGACAAAATGGAATAATATTTTTCAAAATGCAAAAAAAAGAGTTTTCAGGTAGAAAAATTCAAACGAAAAAAACAGGTGGCGGTCCATGTCCCAAGCCTGTTTTCTCTTCCATCGAGAAAATCATGGATATTTATTCGGATTCCGCATGTTTCAACGGTGTGGCCGGAGTGGGCTATTTTGTCAATTTAAAGCATGTAAAACGTGGGTAATACATAAAATACCACACTCGGTCTGATAACATACGAATTATACGAAGCTTGTGACCTTCCTATGGTTTCTGACCTCGCTTTCGCTCGGTCAGATACCATAGGAAGGACACTCGTTTCGTATAATTCGTATGTAATGAGACCTCGTGTAGTATTCTCTATGTATGTCGATGCAAGTATTAAAACAAAATAGCAAGTAGACGAAGACATAGGCTAGCTTGCGACTTCAAAACATAATGTCGAAATTGCGGACAGTTTCATTTCATATTCTTACCTTCTGTACAATGCAGTTGAACTTTATTCAATCACATTTCACCCGCTGTACATAACGTGCGTCCTCTTTCAACGAATATCCAAATCAATGTGAAGGCCGTTCACTCTTTTCTCACAAGAGTGAAGTCCC